ATTGTACCTGATTACATCGACACTCCCAAATTGTACCCAAAGACCCCGACACTCCCAAATTGTACCCAAAGACCCCGTCACTCCCAAATTGTACCCAAAGACCCCGACACTCCCAAATTGTACCCAAAGACCCCGACACTCCCAAATTGTACCCAAAGACCCCGACACTCCCAAATTGTACCTGATTACATCGACACTCCCAAATTGTACCCAAAGACCCCGACACTCCCAAATTGTACCCAAAGACCCCGACACTCCCAAATTGTACCTGATTACATCGACACTCCCAAATTGTACCCAAAGACCCCGTCACTCTCAAATTGTACCCAAAGACCCCGACACTCCCAAATTGTACTCAAAGACCCCGTCACTCCCAAATTGTAGCCAAAGACCCCGTCACTCCCAAATTGTACCCAAAGACCCCGACACTCCCAAATTGTACCTGATGACATCGACACTCCCAAATTGTACCCAAAGACCCCGTCACTCTCAAATTGTACCCAAAGACCCCGACACTCCCAAATTGTACCCAAAGACCCCGACACTCTCAAATTGTACCCAAAGACCCCGACACTCCCAAATTGTACCCAAAGACCCCAACACTCCCAAATTGTACCTGATGACCCCGACACTCCGTTAAGTAAACCATTTCCTGACATTTGTCGTCTGCTGACGGGAAGAGCAGACGACCAGAAATTGTCTGGAATTTGATTTGAGACACAACAAGCACCGGAAGTTGCGTCATTAACTTTTTGAAGAATCAAAAATTCATGTCAAGAAGAATTTTTTCATAAAACAATATGGGATCAGGGTGGCAGATTTAAATCAGGACGTGTTTAGTTTCATGAAGTTGTTGGTCTCAGTGCAGAAAGGTCATGTTGACAGCAGGTGTGTCTATAAGAAATATGTGACAAAACGACACGTGTAACGTCACGACACTTGTCAAAATATGACAAACTGACAAATGTGACAAACTGGCGAATGTGACAAATGTGACAAAGTGACAAACTGACAAATGTCACAAAATGACTAATTTCACAAAACGACAGTTGAGACAAAAAAAAGTCCTATGAGAAAAGCGACAAATGTTTCTTTGTGACATATGAGACAAAACGACATACACTACATATATACAATCAAACATCTGTGTAAAACAATTAGGCTACCTGTTTGCTTATTATAATAGGTAGGCCTACACTAAAATCGATATTCGATAAGTCAGTCGCCATTTTATATTTAAAATCCTAAATTACTTGGACAGTTTTACTCCGCTGCTTAAATTAAAGCTAGATTAGTTTCCTACACAATTCAAAACGTTTTGACGTGTTCAACTTTCTTTTGATGTGCACATCTTTGTTGTGATGTGCACATCTTTTTTTATGTGCACATCTTTTTTTATGTGCACATCTTTGTTTTGACTTGTGCAGACGTTTTTGTTTATGAATTAGATCAAATAATGTTTTTTTCCCAAAGAACTATTTTATCTGTAGCGTACCAATGTACTATTTTAGAGTTAGCCAAGGTTAGAAAACAGGGTTTATTTTCTCTCAAAGTTTTTTAGTCCATATTCGTTACCTTAGATGAAAAACAAGAAAATTGCGCTTTAAACTAAAAGTTTATGAATAAAATATCTCGCTTCCATTAGACATATTATATAAGCTCAATTAATGATTCTCCGTTTTATGGGGTTTTTATGGAAACATAATTCAGACTTTGTCTTACAAACATTTTTTAAATGTTAGACAAGAGATGTCTTATTGGGTAAATTGTACATTTTAAAATGATTGCATAATTCAAAATAGGATCGAAGTGAGAAAATAATATGTGAATACAAAACGTTAAAGTTTGAATAAATATTTTGAATACGATACGGCGGGGCGGTCGAGTGTGAGAGCACTTTTGGCGACTCCAGCTTGTTGAGTTCAGATCCCTGGGGCCAGGTCGCTCTAGAGTACACTCAGCTCTATAAAGTACCTGACTAGAGTTTAAAAAATCATATAGTCCATACAGCATAGCTACAGACAAACTCTACTTCATCTGTCCTAGGGATCCCATGTTCCAATCGGTACTTGACCACACACACACACACGCACACACACACACACACACATACACAAACGTAACAAACGTATTTACCCAGAGCTGTTTTATCAAACTAAAGTCCATTTGTAATGTAGAATCATCACACTCAGCGGTCAACAATTATTGCTCAGCTCTACTTCACCTGGCAAAGAGACGAGATGTTCAACCACTCCCCTAAAATAAAACAAACCTCGTGATCACATGTCTCCATCACGTGATCTCATCCATTTATTATGTCGTGTCGTCTGCACCGCTACAAATAGAACCGTAAATCCTCTGACAATCCTTTAATGTCTATTTAAATGTGTCAAATTCTATCAATTCAGCTTGTTTAAATCAAGTTTCTTCAGCTGAAAAGATGCTAATCCTACTTTAAAATACTTTATTGAAACTTGTAAATCTGATCTTTTTTATTGCGTGGAACTGTTAAATCCAGTTTTTGAGAAAAAAAAATTTGTAAGAGTATCTTTTTGATGGCTGGCTTACGTCATACCGTCTGCTGAGTGCTCATGTTGAATGTCTATCCCCCCCCCCCCCACACACACACACCAAACTACAGATGTACTCACCAATACCACGTGATATAGCAGTGGCTATGTCGACACGGCTAAAACTTTTTGACATTCCGCATTCAGTTGAAGTAAAAGTAGCGAGAGAAGAGATATTGTAGCAAAACGAAGCGGACGTGTCGTACTACATTACTTGACCTGTCGTACTAAATTACTTGACCTGTCGTACTACATTAGTTGACGTGTCGTACTACATGACTCGACGTGTCGTACTACATGACTCGACGTGTCGTACTACATGACTCGACGTGTCGTACTACATGACTCGACGTGTCGTACTACATGACTCGACGTGTCGTACTACATGACTCGACGTGTCGTACTACATTAGTTGACGTGTCGTACTACATTAGTTGACGTGTCGTACTACATTAGTTGACGTGTCGTACTACATTAGTTGCCGTGTCGTACTACATTACTTAACGTGACATAGTTCGTCACGTGACACGTCACAGAACACAATGTGACACATACCATCACGTGACTTATAAGAACTCACCTACAAAAACAACAAGAGTTCTGATGCTTCTCTAGACTGCCGCCATCTGCAACTTTCATATTTATTTCCCAGGAGGCCGAGCGAGGAATAAATATTTGATGCAGGACTTAAGACATTCTTGATTTCTGGAATAAAGACATTTCTCGAGTTCTGGAAAAAAGACATTTCTTGATTTCTGAAATAAAGAAACAGTGACAAAATAAATCTATCACACAGTTATGAAATGAGAAAATAAATATAGTTGTTTGCATATGTTTTGTAATCTTAGAGGATTAGTGACATTCTATGGACAATGCCACACCCCCCCCTACCACACCTCCCACCCCCACCCCCATAATGCAACTAAAATCATGCAGGGATCAATAGCCTCACAGTTTGAGATCTGAAATCATGCAACAAGCATCGGCCCTGCAGTTCCACAGATTGAGATGCCTCGTATTTGAATCAGAAGGTCCTTGATCTTTCACCTTACCGACGACTATTTGCCTAAATAGTTTATTTTATCGAAACAGCATGTGGCATTTTTCTTGGTGGTTTGTACTTGCGGCATGGCTTCATTTAATGAGAACAGTACAACAACATGTTTTCTACAGTGTTCTGTGGTGGGATACACATTTCACTTGTACGGTCAAAATACACACAGTAACTATATATGTAAATATGTGTGTGTGTGTGTGTGTGCGTGTGTGTATGTATGTGAGTGTGTATACGTGGATGGGCTTTCAACGCCTATCTGGCCCTAGATCACATTATGGCCAATTGAGTTCCACATCCCACTTCTCGCTGGCAACCCAGCATTGGCCAGATAAAAACATCAGCGGTCCACTGAACTCTACTTCCCCTGCTCTAGGGCCGGTCACGTCTGACATAGATGTTTGCTGTACTCTACTGCACCTAATACGCTTGTGTTATCTTCTGGAAGTTTCAGGTCTAGATTTATTTCATCTTATAAATCCAAGCCAACACAATCTGTGTACCCGTACAACACAGCAACATCTCGGCTGTACAAACTATCACAGCAACATCCCGGCTCTACAGAGTATTACAAATCTCAGAGTCAGAGGAAAATTTTGTATTTCTTCTATGCCAATATTTTGTTTTGCTACATCCGACTTTTGAAACTGTTTCATCTAATTCTTCCTAAGTAGGTCAGACACCTGGTTAATGCTGGCTGATATTTTTTTAATGGATTTTCGAAAATATTTGCCCTCATTCTTTTCATTCACACACAGCCACAAACACACACACACACACACACACACACACACACACACATATATATATATATATATATATATATATATATATATATATATATATATATATATATATATATATATATATATACAATCTTGTAAATATGTGTATGTGTATGTATTACATAATTCTTAAGAAATATGCCATGTTTATTAATGTAAAATTAATATTTACAATGCCTCAGTACTTGAAAATACAGTGGTCCCCCACGTCACACGGAGCAGGGGCGATAACCACGTCACATAGAGCAGGGGCGATAACCACGTCACATAGAGCAGGGGTTATAACCACGTCACATAGAACAGGGGCGATAACCACGTCACATAGAGCAGGGGCGATAACCACGTCACATGGAGCAGGGGCCATAACAACCTCACATGGACGAGGGGCCATAACCACGTCACATGGAGCAGGGGCGATAACCACGTCACATGGAGCAGGGGCCATAACCACGTCACATAGAGCAGGGGCCATAACCACGTCACATGGAACAGGGGTGATAACCACGTCACATGGAGCAGTGGCGATAACCACGTCACATGGAGCAGGGGCTATAACCACCTCACATGGAGCAGGGGCCATAACCACGTCACATGGAGCAGGGCAATAACCACGTCACATGGAGCAGGGGCTATAACCACGTCAGTTGCTGATGACTACAGCCATAGAGTGATGGCTGGTTAGCGTGATGGTGAGCAGTTTGTGTGGTTCAGGCGAGAAATGACTGATGGGACGGTGGCCTAGTGGTCAAACCAGGTCATATCTGACACACACCCAGCAGACGTTGACACAAAGCTAGAAGACGTGGACACAAAGCTAGAGGACGTGGACACAAAGCTAGCAGACGTGGACACAAAGCTAGCAGACGTGGACACAAAGCTAGCAGACGTGGACACAAAGCTAGCAGACGTGGACACAAAGCTAGCAGACGTTGACACAAAGCTAGAAGACGTGGACACAAAGCTAGCAGACGTGGACACAAAGCTAGAAGACGTGGACACAAAGCTAGAGGACGTGGACACAAAGCTAGAGGACGTGGACACAAAGCTAGAAGACGTGGACACAAAGCTAGAGGACGTGGACACAAAGCTAGCAGACGTGGACACAAAGCTAGCAGACGTGGACACAAAGCTAGCAGACGTGGACACAAAGCTAGCAGACGTGGACACAAAGCTAGCAGACGTTGACACAAAGCTAGAAGACGTGGACACAAAGCTAGCAGACGTGGACACAAAGCTAGAGGACGTGGACACAAAGCTAGAGGACGTGGACACAAAGCTAGAAGACGTGGACACAAAGCTAGAAGACGTGGACACAAAGCTAGAAGACGTGGACACAAAGCTAGAGGACGTGGACACAAAGCTAGAGGACGTGGACACAAAGCTAGAAGACGTGGACACAAAGCTAGAGGACGTGGACACAAAGCTAGCAGACGTGGACACAAAGCTAGCAGACGTTGACACAAAGCTAGAAGACGTGGACACAAAGCTAGAAGACGTGGACAAATTCTGTAACCAGCTCACGTGTGTGTATGCGGTGATTGAAAGTACCCAGTAGCATCCCCACCAATAGGTCCTGCTGTCTGACATAGTCTGTTGTTGTACTTTACTTGAAGACACAGATCATGCCTCAAGACGACCTCACCCCCCCCCCCCCCCCCACCCCTCTTAACGCCCGTCCCTCCCCGACCCTGCCGTGTGAGAAAAGTGTTTCGTTGTTTGTCTTCACCCGTCATCGAACAACTTGTTGCCGACTATTTTGCCGGCTAACCGGCACTTGTCGACGCCACAGTCGACTCACGGTGCACTCATTCACCCGGCCCTCACTCGCGCTGACTCGCGCCGTCGTCTGCCCGCCGTCGTCTCCCACTGTCGTCTGCTGTGCGGTCTGCTCTATAAAGGCGATGAAATCCCCGACCTCACTAGAACAATTTCAAACTTGTGTGACGTTTTATTTTCCCAGTACATCACCAACAATTAAAAACACGGACTTGTATTCAAATTACAGTTGAACAAAACAAAACATTTCTTCTCGGAGCCTTCCAATATCTGTTGATTTAAAAACTGTGACTTCTGCTGACTCTTCACTTCTGCTGATAAGATTGTCTGCGCGCGCAGTCATTAATCAGTCACCATCTGTTGACTTGACAACCAGCCCAACTTTGAAGTCACCTAGACGAGTCACCACATTCATCTCACCATTTACCAACGCGTTGCTTGTTTCTGCCCATTCTTTCCCGTTGGACCAAGAAAGAGGTAAGGCATTATTTACATTTTTAACTACACCTCCGTGAGTTCTAATCACGTTGGTAAAGTTGAAAGACATTGTTGACTCACGCACATTTTTAACTACACCTCCGTGAGTTCTACTCACGTTGGTGTTAGCTTCACCCTCGCACGTCGAGCTGTAGAATATTTCTCAATTAGATTAATAAAGCTATTTTTTTCTGTATTTAAAGCTTTGGCCGTTGTGATGTTTAATTAAGACTATACGCCCTCTCTACTTGTGCGGCTATCGTTGCCTTTTTAAAACCATACTTTGCTAAATATGCGTTTAAATTAACAGCACTTCTTTCTTCAACTATGCACGCCCCGGGGGGGGGGGGGGGGGGAGATGTCCTTGAATGTGGGTGAACGTCTTGTCATAGAATGTTGAGCGGGTATTTACAAAGACAAAACGTTCTACAGTAGAAAGAGCCAGTACAGTGTGTCCACAGATCGTCTTTAATTTGCCGGCTTTTTTTTTTTCTTTGTACCTTGAGCGAACCAAAGAGAAGACGGTCAGTTATAAAAGCAAGAGAAATCATCTTTTGTTAAGACTGGCTTGACCGTTTCCATGGTGACAGGACTAGCGTGCCAGCTGACAGCTCAAGGTCGCACGCGACCAGTGCACGTGTCATTCACCTATTTCCTCACTCCCTGGGGTAGCGACCCCCCCTGCCCGTCCCCCCCCCCCCCCCTGCCCGTCCCCTAATCCCCAGTAGTCTCGTGCAACTGAGATAAAACCCAACTCAAACATCAGATCACAGGGGAGCTTGCTGGTCGGGTCGATAGAGCGTTGGCTTCTATACCACCAGCATTAGGTACAAACACACACAAAGATTCTGTTAGGTAAACCTGTCGTGATTGGAGGTGTTAATGTTCCTAAATGTGATACCATCTCACGGCTGTACAATAAGCATGCACACATCTGTGGACGACACAGATTGCCAGGTGCTAGAACAAGTTGAATACAGCCCCCACCCCCCCTCCCAGCTATCATGGTTAAAGACATACCCAACCCCAACCCCTAATTATGATGTGCCCGAGAGTGTCGACCCATCCGACCAGCCATTTAGTTGAACCAATCAGCGCGTGTGTAATCACAGCCAACCACAGATTGAACATCTGACGTAACCCTACAGCCGCCATTTTTATTTAACGGTCATTAATAGCCCGCGTGTCATGTGGTCTAATCACGTGGCTTGTCCTCGCTCTTTTCATCTTTCTCTCCCCTCTCTCCCTCTCTCCCTCTCTCCTCTTCTCCCCCCCCTCTTCCGTTCTCTCTCCAGCTATTGTGTGATGTTTGAGGAGAATCACGTGATATGCAGAACAAAAATCTAATTTGAAAATAGATTAAATTCAATAGCTTAATAAATTTCAATTGAATTTTAGAAACCAATTAGGAACAGCTTGTGTTGGGAATAAGCAGCGAGAGGACTGAATGCGCGAGACTTTACGAGATTTGAACATTGTGAGGACTGAATGCGCGAGACTTTACGAGATTTGAACATTGTGAGGACTGAATGCGCGAGACTTTACGTGATTTGAACATTGTGAGGACTGAATGCGCGAGACTTTACGTGATTTGATCATTGTACAACGTGTTCAAAATCTCGTGACAATGTCGTCCATGTTCTTATCACCCCCTCCAGTTCACCCCCGCCCGTCACGTTATTTGACCTCCGTGACACTTCCTGTGCCGTATCTGTCCTGACTTTATGGCTCCACGCCATCCCACAGCGGTACACATAACCCAGCGGCTTGTTGCGATTGGCTGGTGTAATCCATCCATCTTGACTGGCTCGTGAACCGGACATCGTGAGCCGGTCGTGACGCGAGTGAGCCGGTCGTAAAGTTTTACTGCCGGTTAGACGAGCGTGCCACCCAGTTAGTGAGTTGGTGAGCACGCTCGATTTGATCACATCTTACGTAACTTCTGGAGGTCAGCAGGGGCATTGAAGGTCACAGGCCACGGAATTTGTTGGGTGATGTGGTGTGGGGGTGAGATGTGGGGTGCTGAGGTGTGGGGTGGTGAGGTGTGGGGTGGTGAGGTGCGGGGTTGGGTGGTGTGGGGTGGTGAGTTGTGGAGTGGTGAGATATGGGGTGGGATGGCGCCGCACTATGATGGTGAGTTGTGTCAGGTATACGCTGATGTTGACGTCATTACTCCACAAACTCTTCAACTCACCACACAGTAAACATACGGCAGATTATGCCAGATTTTGTCACCACACCTACAGATTGCTGTCATTTGTGTTGGGGTGGTGTCGTCAACCCCACCCCCTCCCATCATGTCATATTTAAGAAAAGTGACGAACCCCCCCCCCCCCCCTCCCATCACGTGACAGCTCAGAGACCTACCGACCTAATATATTAACTACAGGTCTTGTTGTTTTAATCTCAGAGACCTACCGACCTAATATATTAACTACAGGTCTTGTTGTTTTAATCTCAGAGACCTACCGACCTAATATATTAACTACAGGTCTTGTTGTTTTAATCTCAGAGACCTACCGACCTAATATATTAACTACAGGTCTTGTTGTTTTAATCTCAGAGACCTACCGACCTAATGTATTAACTACAGGTCTTGTTGTTTTAATCTCAGAGACCTACCGACCTAATATATTAACTACAGGTCTTGTTGTTTTAATCTCAGAGACCTACCGACCTAATGTATTAATACAGGTCTTGTTGTTTTAATCTCAGAGACCTACCGACCTAATGTATTAATACAGGTCCTGTTGTTTTAATCGTACAAGATCAGGGGAAGTCACCGCGAATAATCAGCGCGGTAACTCGTGTCTCCTTTGACTAGTGACTGGTGTATTGATTCATACATCCTACCCCTACAGCTGCTGTAACATCCAACATACGTTTCACAACTATACACACACACACACACACACATATATATATATATATATATATATATATATATATATATATATATATATATATATTGGTATATATTTAGTCACTTTCGTGCTGATGTAAAAGTAATTAGTTTTTGTTTTAGATGGCGCGTGCAATTATGTTCTAAAATTAGTAACCAATGAACAACATGTGTGGAATTCTGTGTGATGTTGCAATGTGTGGACGCAGGTTGTATGGGGAGGAGGGGGTAAACTGTAATGACAGATGAGTTTGAGACCTATGAACACCATCCTCCCCTTGCTGTGGTGTGGCAGCTGACTCTGTGTGATGTGATGTTTGATGGTGGTGGTGCTGGTGGTGGTTGATTGTGGTGGTGGTGGTTGATGTTGGTGGTGGTGTTGTAACTACGTTGATCGCCGCCTTTTCCACAGCGAGCACGGTGAGCACTCATTTAACAACTAACACAATCACAACAACAATCACAAAAACAATCACAACAACAATCACAACAACAATCACAACAACAATCACAACAACAATCACAACAACAATCACAGCAACAATCACAGCAACAATCACAACAACAATCACAACAAAATCACAACAACAATCACAACAACAATCACAACAACAATCACAACAACAATCACAACAACAATCACAACAACAATCACAACAACAATCACAACAACAATCACAACAACAATCGCAACCAACTATATCAACAATCACAACAACAATCACAACAACAACAATCACAACAACAATCACAACAACAATCGCCACAACAATCACAACACAAACACAACACAAACACAACACAAACACAACACAAACACAACACAAACACAACACAAACACAACACAAACACAACACAAACACAACACAAACACAACACAAACACAACACAAACACAACACAAACACAACACAAACACAACACAAACACAACACAAACACAACACAAACACAACACAAACACAACACAAACACAACACAAACACAACACAAACACAACACAAACACAACACAAACACAACACAAACACAACACAAACACAACACAAACACAACCACCTGCAACAACAATCACAACCTCATTCAACAAACAGCACAAACTAATACCCAACAAACAAGAGTTATTGTTGTTTCTCTTTAAACTCCTGTTGTTTTTTTTCGTGAGCCTTAATCCCATTCTAATCCCATCCTAATCCACATATAAAAACAAACATTGAACAGAAAACTCTCCATACTGTTGACAAACTGCGTATTTAAATACCAGAGGTCACCACTCTAACAACAAAGGGCAGACAATCTTGAACTTTAATTTATCGTATCAATTTCCCTAAGCTTTGTTTTTTAGTTCTATTAATTTTTCTTCCGCTTAACTTGCGCCGCATTAGTTCTTTCATGTTTAGTTGCACTACATTAGCTCTTTCTTCTGATTTTGTTGACCCATTTTCTGTTGTTTTTTACTTTTCCTTTTGATTTTGGTTTGGTTTTATTAGCTTTTTTTCTTTTGTGTTTTGCTTCTCTATAGAGAGCTTAGGAAATCAAACAAAAAACTTAAACACTAAGGGAGACCCAGGTGACCCAGGCAACCCACCCGACCCACAGTCCCTGACCCACAAGAATAGCATGAAACTCTTACAGAAGGCGCAAGAAATTATCAGGTAAATGTGCAAGAAATTATCAGGTAAATGTGCAAGAAATGATCATGCAAATGACGTACAGTGCAAGAAAAAAACAGTGCAAATGATCCATAATCTAGTTAGATTCAATTTTAATTTTAACCCTATAAAAATATCGTGAGCACCTAAGCGAACTCGGTCTATATGTATCCTTTGTGGGGGGGGGGGGGGGGGGGGGAAAGAGAGGGGGAGGGGGTGTTGTAAGGGCGGAGTGGGCTTATGATGACGTTGACATGACGAGTGACGTCATGGAGGAGAGTCAACAAATCCTGGCCTTAAAGTACACCGGGAGCCTGTAACACGATCTGTGTTTTCTTGGGCGTCAGTGCAGATTTCCAGAAGTCAAATAAGAATTAAGATGTTGATCTGACCAGGACAAAAAATGATGTCTTAATGGGTGGAAACGTTTTATTTGCTAACGGTCAGCTATTGCAAAATACAATTGTTTTTTATTGACATGCATAAATGCATGTTGTAGTTGAGCATCATCTAGTTTTGGGTACTACTATCGTCAAATGAGAACCTTCGTCATAAAGTAAATGTATGCGCATATGAGAACCTTCGTCATAAAGTAAATGTATGCGCATATGAGAACCTTCGTCATAAAGTAAATGTATGCGCATATGAGCAGCCTCGAGAATCTTACACGAAATCAATAAACAACTTCTCACCATCTCGCTGTCTGTCGTTTTGTCTGCCATCTGGCTGTTTGTCTGTCGTCGTTGTCTTTCACATGACTGTCAGTCTGTCATCGTTTGCTGTCATATGTCTCCCATCTCGCTGTTTACCATCCGTCTCTCCCCCATCCATCTCTCCCCCATCTCACCAGAGTGGCGAGGTGGTGAGGTGGATGTAAATATCTTGTTTGTATCTCGTCATAACATAACTCGGTATGCGGGAGTTCCAACTACAGCTGTCCCCATATCCACATACAGCTGTCCCAACGTGCACATACTTTTGTTAGGGCAAGATTTCATGTTAGCCGAGAAAACATATTTTGATGTAGATCAAGATCTGATTGATGTACTTCGATCAACGTTAACACAATGCGTACACAATTATAAAGTACCGACTTGTGAAATGCGAGCTGTATTTCAACATAACAGCAATTGGTTGGGCTTGTTCAAGCCATAAATCTGCGTGAATACATCAGTTTGTTGCTAAAAATAGCTGTTATGGTAGTCTGCTGACCCATATTGAAAAACAAATCCATGCTAGACAACATATATATATATATATATATATATATATATATATATATATATATATATATATATATATATATATATATATATATATATATATATATATATATATATATATATATATATATATATATATATATATATATATATATATACATATACATATAATTAAAGCGTTATTTATAAAAATTATTTTGAGAATAACCAACCATAAACGATTTCATACACCCGATAAAGTGTATGTTCGTGTGCAACCGTGTAGGATTAGACTTATCAGAGAAAGTAGCTGTTCGTGCACAGCAATGACGAAAATCAAGTCATGTGATCTCAAGGCTTGGTCCTCATTGGCTGTTGCAGATGATTAAAAAGTACACGCAGACAAACGAAACAAAACTAAAAAAAATTGCCGGGACGTATCAATTTTATTGAAACCAATTCCCCGGACAAATCCCGTCAGCTTACGGACGTGATTCGGTTGTCGGAAAAAATGTCCGGTTCTCCAGCTCTCTTCTGACATCAGGCACGTGAGCTTACCGGATTTCCGGCGGCTGACGTCACGCGGTCGTGTCCTTGTATGCCAAATGTTAGCATACAATTTGTTGTCGTCTGCACTCCCGCGCCTCATCAACAAACACCAGCTGTATGTAGGGCGGTCCGGGTCGGTCTCAACACCGACACAAGTCTGTGTGGTCGGGGGTTCGAATCATCCTCGCACCAACACCGCCGTCTGTCGTGGGTTCGAATCACCTTTGCACCTACACCACCACCCCAACCTACATCTCACAAGAACATCAACATCTCAGTCGTCTTTGAAGACTGAGTTGTGTTTTTTACCTTTACCCAGGTGTACCAATAAACGAGAAAAGAAACAATTTGTTTCTATGTACAAAAACCTTCCGTAACCCCACACTTATATGAACAAATAAACTCCGACTACTTAGAACGACAAGGTCTCCAAACACTGCACTAACGGGTAGGAAACAAGCCCCACTCTACCCAGAGATTAAAGCGATTTGGTTCAGCCCACACCGCTGAATTCCCGATCAGATGGAATCGCCCACACGCGGACCAAACATTTCATGTTGAGACCCCCTTCAAATGGAATCGTCCAGTTGCGTCAGCAACAAGACAAATGTATTTTTTCTTGCAATCTCTTCAAGTGTGTGTGTGTGGAGGGGGGGTATCATTCAGACAACAAGATCTCTGGTATCAAGAGATCAGACTGGGGCAGGCACTGGGGGGGGGGGGGGGGGGGGAGGGGACGATTAACTCCCAACTCATTATTCCGTTGTTTGGAGAAGTGTCGCCTGATGGTCAGGTTAGAATGGTAGTGTGGTGGTAGTGTGGCTAGTGTAGTGGTAGTGTGGGTAGTGCGAGTAGTGTGGGTGGTGTGACTAGTGTAGTGGTAGTGTGGGTAGTGGTAGTAGTGTGGGTAGTGTGGATAGTGTGGGTAGTGTGGATAGTGTGGGTAGTGTGGATAGTGTGAGTAGTGTGGGTAGTGTAGTGGTAGTGTGGGTAGTGTAGTGGTAGTGTGGGTAGTGTGGGTAGGTGTGTAGTGTGAGTAGTGTGGGTAGTGTGAGCCTCTAATGGTCCCATATGCTAATAGATAACAATCTATCCGACTACAAATCTAATCATGTATGCATTATTGCATCCTAATTTTTTGTTTCCATAGAGCCAATACTAACCAAATAGTTGAGATGTATTCACATTTTCTTCTAGATATGTGAAGGCGCATAACCTATATACATACATACATACATACCTACATACATCCACAGATATACACAAAGATACATTCACAGGGTTTATGTGGGTGGGTGTTGTTCCTATATAGGCCGCATTACCCCCCCCCCCCCTGATATTTGGGTGTCGCTAAATTCGTTAGCTCCGAATCACGTCAACCACACACCAACCACACACCAACCACACACCAACCACACACCAACCACACACCAACCACACACCAACCACACCAACCACACACCAACCACACACCAACCACACATCAACCACACACCAACCACACACCAACCACACACCAACCACACACCAACCACACACCAACCACACACCAACCACACACCAACCACACACCAACCACACACCAACCACACACCAACCACACACCAACCACACACCAACCAGACACCAGCTTTAACGCCATCCCATGCCACCCAAAGAGTTCCAGAACAGATCACGTGATAACAGAGTATCAGCCCCTCCCACCACCCACATCCGACCCCCCCCCCCCCCCCCCCCCATTAATCAGACTCCGCTGTTTATCGCTCCATCTCCGTCACGTGATGGTGTATCTGGACCGGAAACTGTGACGATTACCAAACCGTTACGCCATCCGCCCCGCCCCAATAGTGTTTATCTTTGTTCAGGGGACACAACCCACAAGATAAAAACCTCGATTACTTCTGTCCCCCTTGTTACCTGGACTTTTAAATATCGATTAGCAATCAGACGAGTTAATTAAATTGTGAATAGTCTATACAGCAGTTAATTAAACTTGCAATCAATATCCGAATTACATCATGTAATTGACAGTCTACATCTGGCGCTTATGGCAAAAAAACAATGATTGTGTTCCTCCAATGATTGTGTTCCTCCCATGATTGTGCACTCAATGATTGTGTGCCTACAATGATTGTGTGCCTACAATGATTGTGTGCCCTCAATGATTGTGTGCCATCAATGATTGTGTGCCTACAATGATTGTGTGCCCTCAATGATTGTGTGCCCTCAATGATTGTGTTCCTCCAATGATTATGTTCCTCTCATGATTGTGTTCCTACAATGATTGTGTGCCTACAATGATTGTGTGCCTACAATGATTGTGTGCCTTCAATGATTGTGTGCCCTCAATGATTGTGTGCCCTCAATGATTGTGTGCCCTCAATGATTGTGTTCCTCCAATGATTATGTTCCTCTCATGATTGTGTTCCTACAATGATTGTGTGCCTACAATGATTGTGTGCCTACAATGATTGTGTGCCCTCAATGATTGTGTGCCCTCAATGATTGTGTGCCCTCAATGATTGTGTGCCCTCAATGATTGTGTGCCCTCAATGATTGTGTGCCTACAATGATTGTGTGCCCTCAATGATTGTGTGCCCTCAATGATTGTGTGCCCTCAATGATTGTGTGTCCTCAATTATTGTGTGCCCTCAATGATTGTGTGCCCTCAATGATTGTGTGCCCTCAATGATTGTGTGCCCTCAATGATTGTGTGCCCTCAATGATTGTGTGCCCTCAATGATTGTGTGCCCTCAATGATTGTGTGCCTACAATGATTGTGTGCCCTCAATGATTGTGTGCCCTCAATGATTGTGTGCCCTCAATGATTGTGTGCCCTCAATGATTGTGTTCCTCCAATGATTATGTTCCTCTCATGATTGTGTTCCTACAATGATTGTGTGCCTACAATGATTGTGTGCCTACAATGATTGTGTGCCCTCAATGATTGTGTGCCCTCAATGATTGTGTGCCCTCAATGATTGTGTGCCCTCAATGATTGTGTGCCCTCAATGATTGTGTTCCTCCAATGATTATGCTCCTCTCATGATTGTGTTCCTACAATGATTGTGTGCCTACAATGATTGTGTGCCCTCAATGATTGTGTGCCCTCAATGATTGTGTGCCCTCAATGATTGTGTGCCCTCAATGATTGTGTGCCCTCAATGATTGTGTGCCCTCAATGATTGTGTGCCTACAATGATTGTGTGCCCTCAATGATTGTGTGCCCTCAATGATTGTGTGCCCTCAATGATTGTGTGCCCTCAATGATTGTGTGCCCTCAATGATTGTGTGCCCTCAATGATTGTGTGCCCTCAATGATTGTGTGCCCTCAATGATTGTGTGCCCTCAATGATTGTGTGCCCTCAATGATTGTGTGCCCTCAATGATTGTGTGCCTACAATGATTGTGTGCCCTCAATGATTGTGTGCCCTCAATGATTGTGTGCCCTCAATGATTGTGTGCCCTCAATGATTGTGTTCCTCCAATGATTATGTTCCTCTCATGATTGTGTTCCTACAATGATTGTGTGCCTACAATGATTGTGTGCCTACAATGATTGTGTGCCCTCAATGATTGTGTGCCCTCAATGATTGTGTGCCCTCAATGATTGTGTGCCCTCAATGATTGTGTGCCCTCAATGATTGTGTGCCTACAATGATTGTGTGCCTACAATGATTGTGTGCCTACAATGATTGTGTGCCCTCAATGATTGTGTGCCCTCAATGATTGTGTGCCCTCAATGATTGTGTGCCCTCAATGATTGTGTGCCCTCAATGATTGTGTTCCTCCAATGATTGTGTTCCTCCAATGATTGTGTTCCTCCAATGATTGTGTGCCCTCAATGATTGTGTTCCTCCAATGATTGTGTGCCTCCAATGATTGTGTGCCCTCAATGATTGTGTTCTCCCTCCACAGAACCAGCATGTCCACCAGCCCCAACAAACACCAACTGTCGGTCACCTCCAACAACAACGCCCCAAAGTCACACTACAGGTAGGTCAAGGTCATTTCCTTCCCAGCGGGTTGGGATTTGTTGGGAAGTGAGCGGTAGGGTGAGGGTGGTGATGGTGGTGATGGTCCACCCAACACTTAGCCTTAGCGGGATTGACGTATCTGATGTTTGACCTTCACCTCCAGAAAACTCAACACTTTGTCCGATCTTAACTAAAGCTAACCACTCGAGATCTCGCTCATCCAGTAAACCACACGAGAATCTCGCCCATCCAGTAAACCACACGAGAATCTCGTCCATCCAGTAAACCACACGAGAATCTCGTCCATCCAGTAAACCACACGAGAATCTCGTCCATCCAGTAAACCACACGAGAATCTCGTCCATCCAGTAAACCACACGAGATCTCGCACATCCAGTAAACGACACGAGAATCTCGCCCATGACATAACCAAGCCATCAGCCTGTAGTAAAACCATTTTAACCCTCCACATCCCGCACGTAACTCATCATCGTCCATTAAATATGCATGTGTTTTACATGAGATCCAGCCACCAGAGGGTTAAGTATTTACTAGAGCTCACGTATTCAGGTGGTCTAGATTTGAGGTCAAGGCCGGTTGTCACAAATTATGTCTAAACTCCGGGCAATACAGTCACAAATTATGTCAAAACTCCGGGCAATACAGTCACAAATTGTGTCAAAACTCAGGGCAATACAGTCACAAATTGTGTCAAACTCAGGGCAATACAGTCACAAATTGTGTCAATGCCCTACGCTCCAACATAAAGGCTGTCACCGCCTTCATTAGCTAGGTCAAGTTTCTAACCATTATCTACTGACGGACATTCTCAATACGAAACCACTGGGAGACTGGAAAACTCGGATTTAACCAGTTCTGTCTGGTAGTGATGGTGGATGGGGGGGGGGGGGGGGGGGGGGGGGACAGTGGCCAGACGAGTTATCACTCACGTGACTTGAACAATCAAGCTAATTGCACGTGCCATAGGCTACAATTTACGTCATTACAGAGAAGCCAATCTTTAAAAAAAAATTTACTGCAGTTTGTTGAGATATGTTGTGACCTTGAACAGATCCAAGATGGCGCATGTCAAACAACATGGTGGACCGTGTGGTGTCTGGGGGGGGGGGGGGAGGGCGTCAGACAAGCGCAAAAAGTTCAATAATTAAGATCTGGTCACGAGTTCTCTAATCACGTGATAAGTACCAATATGACGTCATCACGACTAAAAATTTCCTGAAACCTGCCACATTTAAAAATGTGACATTTAAATAATTTGCTATTTAATAGTGTGATATTTAAAGATGTGATTAAAAGTATGAAATTTGAAAGATGTGATTTAAAAATTGTGTGTTTCTCCCCAGACTTGTGGTGATGGGGGCGGCAGGGGTGGGCAAGACGGCCATCATCTCACAGTTCCTCTACGACCAGTTTGTCTCAGAATACAAGTGAGTTACCTCTCTTTTATCTCACCGGATGTGCACCTGACCCGGGCCGGGGTGTTGTTGAGTGTGTGTGTGGGGGGGGGGGGGGGGTGCTTGTAGGAGGAATGGCTTGGTCAGTGAAGCAGTGTGTGAGTTGTCTATGTCAGGTTCGAAACCTGCCTACTCCAGCGCGAATGTTTAGATCCTGTTTTAACACGACGTTAGGAAGTTGTGGCCGAGGTGTCAGCTTCCACATCAGGACGTAATGAACGTATAGAATCCTAAGATCACACCTAGCACCCATCACCCAGCACCCAGCACCTAGCACCTAGCACCCATCACACAGCACCTAGCACCTAGCACCCATCACACAGCACCTAGCACCTAGCACCCATCACACAGCACCTAGCACCTAGCACCCATCACACAGCACCTAGCACCTAGCACCCATCACACAGCACCTAGCACCCATCACACAGCACCTAGCACCTAGCACCCATCACACAGCACCTAGCACCTAGCACCCATCACACAGCACCTAGTACACAGCACCTAGCACCTAGCACCCATCACACAGCACCTAGCACCTAGCACCCATCACACAGCACCTAGCACCTAGCACCCATCACAAGCACCTAGCACCTAGCACCCATCACACAGCACCTAGCACCCATCACACAGCACCTAGCACCCATCACACAGCACCTAGCACCTAGCACCCATCACACAGCACCTAGCACCTAGCACCCATCACAAGCACCTAGCACCTAGCACCCATCACACAGCACCTAGCACCCATCACACAGCACCTAGCACCCATCACACAGCACCTAGCACCTAGCACCCATCACACAGCACCTAGCACCCATCACACAGCACCTAGCACCCATCACACAGCACCTAGCACCTAGCACCTAGCACCCATCACACAGCACCTAGCACCCATCACACAGCACCTAGCACCTAGCACCCATCACACAGCACCTAGCACCTAGCACCCATCACACAGCACCTAGCACCCATCACACAGCACCTAGCACCCATCACACAGCACCTAGCACCTAGCACCCATCACACAGCACCTAGCACCCATCACACAGCACCTAGCACCTAGCACCCATCACACAGCACCTAGCACCTAGCACCCATCACACAGCACCTAGCACCCATCACACAGCACCTAGCACCTAGCACCCATCACACAGCACCTAGCACCTAGCACCCATCACACAGCACCTAGCACCCATCACACAGCACCTAGCACCCAGCACCCAGCACACCAGTGAACGCGTGAACATCTCGACCACACCAACCCACGAACAGAGCTTAAAGTAAAATAGTGGTAGTCACACGCTGTTACACCTATCCACAATACAAACACTAATCCACTGTTGATGGATACACCTATCCACAATACACACGTATCCACAGTGTACGGCCTGCTGTACTAGTGCTAGTCCCTTCATTGACTGATGCCATTTGGTCTAATATCTCCACGCAGGGTCAATCAGAACACAATTTTTTATGTTCATCAACACAGACGATAAACATTCATGAACTTTTTTAATGACTTCATCCTTATTCTAGTGTAAAAGGACAAAACAAAATAAATAAATAAAAGGACGCACTTTGGTGACTGATTTTTTTATTGACTTAATTGGGTGGTAGTTATTTTTTTTCATGATGAAACAAAAATAGCCCCAATGTTAAGTGCACAGGACCCTTCCCCTCCCGTACCAGACCCCCAACTACCTGTCACTGATACCAGCCCCCCCCCCCCCCCAATCTAAGCCACCTTGACACACTCCATATTGTGACGTTATTGACTGCCAGTTTGGCCTTGTACTATTGTACGGCAGGCGCTTGTTGTCTTGTTCTTAGAGTACAGTGGTACATGCTAGGCTTTAGTAGGGGAAGCTTTTTCTGAAATATTATGGTGGGGGGGGGGGGGGGGGGGGAGGGGGGGAACAGGAAGAGGGGGAGAGATTACTGATAATACTTCAGTTGGTTGGGAGCTTCATAACATACTACTATCAGCAGTCGCTACAAAACAAACAATAATTATCGGATCTCATATATATATATATATATATATATATATATATATATATATATATATATATATATATATATATATATATATATATATATATATATATATATATATATATATATGTATATATATATATATATATATATATATATATATATATATATATGCATCACTACCTTCAAACGTTCGTGTTCATAAATTTTTCCATGATATCTGAGCCCCCCTCCATTGAATTTCCCCAGAAACACTAGCAAATATTGGGCGAATATCAACTTTCTGATGTAATTAACGATAAACGCCAAATGACCCCAACCTAATGACTTGCCTCACCTTAGAATCCCAGCTGTCTCATACAAGTACAGCGCAGCTAAGCGCCCTTTGAACATATGTTACACGTCAATGAGAAGACCCGCCCCCCCCCCCCCCCTCGCTGACTCAGCGAAATATGAGATGGTGATGTCTGTTAATGATAACTCACATATACACACACACACATATATATATATATATATATATATATATATATATATATATATATATATATATATATATATATATATATATATATATATATATATATATATATATATATTTATATATATATTTATATATATGTATGTATGTAAATAGGTATGGAGCAGGAATGAAAGAGGAAATCTAGACACCCATTGTTTGATACTTTAAGTTATATGCATATAGCTGGTGACCAATGACCAATGTTTGTATAGTAAGCCCTTTGATGGCTAACCAATGACCAATGTTTGTATTGTGTGTCTGTTGCTAGGTAACCAATAACCAATCGTATTTTGTGTCTGCTACAGGGAGACTATTGAAGAGCTCCACCGAGGCGAGTACGACATGAATGGCGTCCACCTGACCCTTGACATTCTGGACACTTCCGGTTCGCACCAGTTTCCGGCCATGCGGAAGTTGGCCATCGATAACGGCGACGCCTTCGTTCTGGTCTACTCAGTAGAGGACGAATATTCGTTTCAGGTTCGTCTAGCTAGCTCTGGCTCGTACAATAATTGTATCGCTTCAGATGTCAGAGTTCTAATAGTTTGTCTGCTTTATTTCTGTGGAATTTTTAAAAATTTCAAACTCTCCGCGAATATTTAATGAGAAAAAGAAAATTTTAAAACTAAATCTGCTTGTTAGATATTAAAGTTGGTTTAAATAAGCTGGAACCAGATCTTCTTTTAGTTATTCCGATTTTTAAACTTGTATTTTATTTTATTATATTAAAGTCGTTTTATTTTTGCATCTACCTTAGTGTGATTGATGTAATTAACATAATTAATGACTTGCTCCACAGGAGATCACCAAACTACGTCAGCAGATTCTGGACGAGCGGGCGGAGAGTGACGTGCCCATCGTGATTGTGGCCAACAAAACGGACGTCGGCGAGTCCCGACGGACAATCCTTCCGGAAACAGCCGAGAGCCTGGTCTGTCTGGACTGGGGAAACGGGTACGTGGAGGCCTCGGCCAAGGAAAACATCAACATCGTCGGCATCTTCAAGGAGATCCTCCGACAGTCCAAGGTCCGGTACGAGCTGAGTCCGGCAGTCCGAAGACGCCGAGAGTCCATGCCGTCCTCTAACGACAACAAGAAGAAGAACAAGTTGGCCAAACGCAGGACGCAGAGCGTCAATACGTAAACCTACGTCAGACCACTGCGTGTAAATATATCACCGGCTTAACGAATCAAAACACGAGATCTTAATGACACCAGCATTGACGTCAATCCTAGAATGACATGTCATCAAACACCAAGTGACATTTATGCCATGTGTTATTAAAATAATGGTTAGAATGTTTTATTTTCTAATCCATGAAATCATAACCGTATCATCCATCGGGTTGGTGTTCTGCTATGTGTTAGAGGATTGACCTTTGGCAAGGGCAGTCACTCGCCTGGGCTGACCTCCATCTTGTTTCTATTGTACACAAAGGCTGCCTATTTTTGTATACATGCCAATGCAAACTTCGCCTTGACAATGTTTATTTAAAATATGAATTTGTATGTCTGTCTGTATGTCTGTCTAAATGTCTGACGTGTTTGACAGATCTGTGAGTGTGAAGCAAGTTTTGATACACGTCTGATACACGTTTGGTACAACTTTGGTACAAGTTTGATAACGTTTGGTACAAGTTTGGTACAAGTTTGATAACGTTTGGTACAAGTTTGGTACACAGTTGATACACGTTTGGTTTAAGTTTGATAACGCTTGGTACAAGTTTAGTACAAGTTTGATAACGTTTGGTACACGTTTGATAACATGGCTGAACATCTGCCGGCACATGGACTAATTAGAAGCACATCTGAGAAGTTATTAATAGAAGTGTTGTCATCAAATTGCGACTTACGTTTGTTCAATGTTTAGTTGTAGAGCCAATGCTTCAGTAGCCTACAAATGATCATGTAGCAACTATGATGTAATCATGTAACAACTATGATGTAATCATGTATAATGGAAGACACGTGAAGACACGTTTTTTTTTTACATTTTTTCTTTTCTTTGCAAAAAAAAATATAGTCAGGTTAAGGTGTTAAAAATTTCTTGTCTCAAGTTCAAATGTAATCTAGTTTTTTTTATTATTTATAATTTTTTTTTTACTGTTAGAATGTTGATAAAACAAGTTAATTAAAAAAAATATATTAGACAAAAACCAGAGCTGCAGCCTAGGATGGAATTTCAGTTCAAAGAACTTTTAAAGTTTCAGAAAGAAAACGGACGAATTCCCTCTAGTTTTTATGTAATTTCAGCGTAATGGTTTTTATTTAATTATTTTATGGAACTGATTTTTTTCTTTCTTCTTTGCCTCCAGCAGTATGAAATGCAAGGACACGCACACACACAACCATTCACACACACGCACAAAATAACTCAAAAACCTTCGTATAATGTGCAATATATACTGTTGTTTTTTTATCTTTGAATTATAAATGTAAAGTCTTGTTGTTATGCGCTAGTTAAAGCGAGGTTACTCTAGCCGTTGAATCGCCACTGTTCAGCGAGTTATAGAACTTGCGCCTGTTTCGAAGACCGTAGATATTTTATGATTCCATGTTTTTGCATTACTGTACATAGAAAACATAAATCTGCTTGAATTTTTTATGCCAGAACTGTCCAGTGTATATTTTACGGCATCATTTTTATAACAATACACTTTTGTAATAAACATTTTAAAAATTATGTCTGTTTTGTTATTTTTGGTCAGGTGTTCTCAGCACAATGTTCAAACGCAAGATGGAGAAACTGAGGAGCCGTGCTCTAAGCTTTACACAGGGTTGTAGAGGGGGGGGGGGAAGAGAGCTTGGGGGTAATCTTCCCTTGTAGATCCCCAAAATAAAAGCAGGTTCAATTAATAAGTTTAGCAATTGGCTGATTTCATTGTATGTACACAATTTTTTTTTCTTTAAAGAACCAACACAAGTTTACATTTATTAATATATATATATATATATATATATATATATATATATATATATATATATATATATATATATATATATATATGTATAAATTGGAAAGAAATGAATCTAATCTAACCGTCATTCAAAGTCTTGCCAGAGTTACTGCACCTATTTAACCCAAATTCTAGCTCAGGTGATGTCTAATAGGAACACAGAGGGGCCTATGGTAGCACACAGTGGAAACAGCAGAACTAAAGCACTGTTAGTCACCAATAGTCACAGTCAAGGGAATTAACTCAGTAATAGCTGTCTACTTGAAGTTTGTTAAAAAAGAGTTATTGAACTTATTATTAATATTTTTTTAAACAGTAAAATACTATTGTCCCACCTATACACCTGCATAACTTCGTACACCTGCACCACACAGTAGGATACACCTGCAGCACATAATCCACACCTGTCCCACCTATTGCACACCTGCATCATACATTGTTCAATTACTAAAGTCAGCATGTACAATGGTTGGCTTAGAAATTTATTTTAAAATCTGACAAATCATTGCTGCAAGTACCTCCATATTTGGAGGCTGTAACAGCATCAGTAACACACAACTTTTGCACAAAAACAGCATACTGTTGATTAAATGAGTTGCTAATACAACCATAGTACTGCCTAAATAATCTAATTTAAAAAATAATTGAAATAACACTTTGATAAAATTAATGTAAAAATTACTCTAAAATGAACTAAAGCTAGTAATAAAAAGTAAACTATACACTTGAAAACTATGTTTCTTCATATAAACTAAGATCAATAACACTTCTGCAGTAAAAACATATTCTTATGTATTAACTTTACAAGTCTCAGAGTGTTTTAAACTGCTGGGGAGATTAGGTTGTACAAAGTTGTCTTACATAACCTGACGTCTTACATAACATGATATCTTACATGACCTGATGTCTTACATGACATGATGTCTTACATGACCTGATGTCTTACATGACCTGATGTCATACATGACCTGATGTCTTACATGACCTGATGTCATACATGACCTGATGTCTTACATGACCTGATGTCATACATGACCTGATGTCATACATGACCTGATGTCTTACATGACCTGATGTCATACATGACCTGATGTCTTACATGACCTAGTCTTACATGACCTGATGTCTTACATGACCTGATGTCATACATGACCTGATGTCTTACATGACCTGATGTCATACATGACCTGATGTCATACATGACCTGATGTCTTACATGACCTGATGTCTTACATGACCTGATGTCTTACATGACCTAGTCTTACATGACCTGATGTCTTACATGACCTGATGTCTCACATCACCTGATGTCTTGTCCTACATGACCTAATGTCTTGCATGACCTGATGTCTTACATGACCTGGTGTCTTACATGACCTGATGTCTTACATGACCTGATGTCTTGTCCTACATGACCTAATGTCTTGCATGACCTGATGTCTTACATGACCTGATGTCTTACATGACCTGATGTCTTACATGACCTGATGTCTTACATGACCTGATGTCTTACATGACCTGATGTCTTACATGACCTGATGTCTTACATGACCTGATGTCTTACATGACCTGATGTCTTACATTACATCAATTGGACCATTTTTAGCAGTACGACAAAATACTAAGACTCAGTGTTTCTTCCAGGCATCTCTTCAAGAAAAAAGACTGGAAGAAACACTTGCAAGGCTAATGCTTTATCAAATATTTTGATACATTCTACTATTGCATCACACAAATCACAAAATAGTCTCCCTAGCACAAATACAATCATTGCATCACACAAATCACAAAATGGTCTATGTCATCACCATATATTTTGAATAGCTCTAATGCTGTACAACTACTGGCTACGTATTATTTAAGAAAAAATACAAAGGTAAAAACAAATATACCAGAATAAATCATCGTAAACCTGTAAAACTATCAAAAATTCAGACAGTCGTTAAATGACTGGCTGTGAGAATACAAATATTGTTACAGTTTCTCACCTTGTCATTCTCACCTCAAGCTGCAATTTAAAAAAAAATTTGGCAATCAACTTGGATGTCAGTATTAGCATTTGATCATTAGCAGCTTCATAAACTAAACATCTTTACAACACAAGTTATTCAATTGTTATACACTCCATTATGTATAATGTCCGTGGCAATAATCAATTAAACATGAATAACATTTTAAAATAAATAAATATATACAAAAATCACCAGTAGACCAAATCATCACAAAGTGGAGCAATGTCATTATCACCACCACACCTTGACACAATTCAACAACGCCACGTTACCATTCATCATCACCACCACCCCATGTCACCATCACCACCACAACATGTCACCATTTATCATCACCACCACAACATTTCACCATTCATCTTTACCACCACACCATGTCACCATTCATCATCACCAACACACCATGACACCATTCATCATCACCACCACACCTTGTCACCATTCATCGTCACCACACCACCATTGATCATCACCCCCACACGATGTCACCATTCATCACCATTACACCTTGTCACCATTCATCATCACCACCACAGCATAATCACCACTACACCAAGTAACCAAGTCTGATCATTTTGTTATACAGTTCAATCTTATATTTTCTATCCCGCAAGTTGAACCCTGCCAATGTTGTTAAGTAACGAAAATCAAAGTTTAAATACTTTTAGCATTCACTAAATGACTGCTATAGAGATAATAAACTTATTTTTTAAAAAATACTTTGACGTAATAAATTATTTAAAACAAATATTTATTAAAGATTGTCTTATAAAGTAAAAATCTTTATACACCATTTCACACACATTTATGCTATTACACATACATTTGCTATGTGTTCATTTGGTGCGAAAGTGTTTTGAATTTTGCTATTTGATTTGATTAAAAATATTTTAATAAAAACATTCTTAATAAAGAGTTTTTAGTGTGCACTAAAAATAAAGAAAATTAAATGATTTTCTTTAAAAATATGCAAACCGCTATTTACATTAAAATATTTTTTTTAAAAAGATAAGCGATTAATATTTTTTTTAGCAAGAGTATTGAATACAATATATAGTGACACATACTTTTTCTTATAGTTTTATATAAAGTGGTTCATTATTGTATATTTACAGAAAATCATTTATTTCTTTATTTTTAGTGCATACATAACAATGTTATAATAAAGTTTTTAAAGTGGTCATGAATGACAAAAGGGATTTAACTGTGAAAATCCTTGATTAAAACCATGGTTATTTCCCTTGCATAAAATATGTGCCCATCAATGACTAAATATTACACAGAACGAATATTTTTTTAAAAACAATTAAGTACATAGTCAATGAGATTCTTATTGCTTAACAAATGGAAGATTTCACCAACTGAGCAATCTTTTAAATAATGGATATGTAGTTTCTATAGTTGGTGGATACATCAAAATATTGGATACATAGAACTAACAGGTGGATATGCTGAACATTTCCCTAAATGATCTAACTTGGTATAGATGGCTTGTTCCACTGACCATAGCTGATCTCCTTCTTGTATGCGATGAGTGTGTTTTTGATCACCATGGCAACAGTGACTGGTCCAACACCACCTGGTACAGGTGTGATCAGGCTGGCCTTGAGACTCACACCTGTCAAGGTCAAGCAAACTCTGGGTTTTAGTTAGAGAAAACCTATTTGGTTCATTCATCTTCTAATTTATTTTGATTTGATTAACTCACTCAAACTCAACATTAACAGCTGAATACGGCCTCTAGGGTCTGTGGGGAACAAAGGGAGAAAAATCTGGCTACTTGATCCCATTGTGTGAGGGGGGGGGGGGCTATAGAAACAGATGGACTCCAGATATAGAGTTATTTCTTTATCCCATTTTGTGAGGGGGCTATAGAAACAGATGGACTCCAGATCTAGAGTTATTTCTTTATCCCATTAATTACTTCAAATTTCCAATAATAAATAACAACATCCAAATTTTCCACTAGTAAAAAAACTTGCTTCCTGTTTTTCTGTTTTACCAAAATAATGCAAATATTCATTTTAACAAATATATGTTAATATTTGTTTTACCAAAAATATGTAAATATTTGTTTTACTAAAAATATGTAAATATTTGTTTTACCAAAAATATGTAAATATTTATTTTACCAAAATAATGTAAACATTATTAATTATTTCTAATAATAAAAGCTTCCTTGGTAAAAATTCCATTAAGAGATTTTTTAGCAAGTATTAGAGTATTGACTACCAAAATCACCTTCAAAGTCAACATCACCAACCAGCTTAGCTCTGCCGTTTGCCTCTACTACTCTGGTTATGCCAATGTCAATTACGACAGCGCCATCTTTGACCATGTCAGCCTGTATCAGACCTGGCACGCCGGTGGCAGACACGATGATGTCAGCTGACTGGGTGAAATGTCTGAGCTGCTCTGGTGTTGTGTTGCGATGGCAGATGGTGGTTGTGGCGTCACCTGATCAGATGATACAAACTTTCTTGAAAAACTCAGTTGATACACTGTAACAAATCATGGTATCATATGCCATAATATTTGCAGATGGTGGTTGTGGCGTCACCTGGTCAGATGATACAAACTTTCTTGAAAAACTCAGTTGATACACTGTAACAAATCTTGGCATTACTTGCCATAAAATATTTGCAAATAAAAAAATAATGTGACAATTTTAATACACAAAACGTCAGCTAAATTAAGCATTCTGTATCCCTAATGACTGAACATAACAAAGCCAAGTAATAATTGGGGACGGTGTGACGAAATGATGGAGTGTCAGACTGCTAGCGGATCTCAGTTCAGACTGTTGACTGTAGGACGTCCCTGAGTCAACCCAGATCTGATGGGTACCTGACTTACATTGGGGTGGTCACTAGGTCTAAAGAGGAACTTAATAAATGACTAAACATGACTAAACAAAGCCCAAATTGTACCTGCTCTTGAGCCCCCGTTACCATCTGAATGAAGATGTAAAGCAATGGGTAGCCCCACATTCTTTGACCTGCCAATCACAACAGCATTCTTGCCGTTGGTCTCAATCTCTGAAGACAAAAAGATTTTTAAAAGTTTTAATCAAATAAACTAGTTGCCCAGGTTCCATATCACAGTGTGTTTGTTTAAAGTAAAGTAACCAGCCAAAAATTACAAGCTATTTATGAGTGAGAGTAACAATTCAGCTTAACATCAAGATTCTTATTTCAATAATTTTAACTGACATATTATTTTAAAAATGTGTATTTGTTTATAACGCAATAACTTAAGCTGAGTTAAAAATACGTTACTTTGCTAATAATATCCAAATTTATTTTTTAATTATTTTCTTCAATTTGAAAATTAATACAGTATCTTTTAACAACTTTCCCAATTAAAAATGACATAATCTTCTAATGATCTTCAGAATAAAAAAAAACATTCTCAATCTTCTAATGACCTCTACAATTAAAAAATGACATACTCAATCTTCTAATGATTTCTAACACCCCAGATGGAGTAGCTGGGATAAAAGCTTTTTGATCCACACAAAATCTGCCGACGTTGAGAACGTTGAAACCATCAACATCTTTGGCCGGCAGCACGGCATCACAAACAGTTCTCTCATCAATGTGAGCAGGCAGAGGTAGTTGGACAAGTATGCCGTCATTTTCTTCCAGACTGTTGAGAAATTCTATTTCTTTCAGGAGCTCAGCCTCTGACACTTTTGCTGGAATTCTTAGAATATCACATGATATACCTGGAAGTGTGGTACAAATATTCAGAATATCACATGATATACCTATATCAAATGGCAACTATACGGCTAAAGTTTTTAAATTTAAAATGGTGATTTGAAAAGAGAACTTAAAAAAAGATACTTCCAGAGAGGCAATGAATTCACCTGTGTAATGAGCTGCCTGTGATTTATTCTTTACATAGACGATGCTGGCCGGATCATTACCAACCAAGAGGACTGCTAGGTGGGGCGGTCTGTTTCCTGCTTCAACAAGAGCATCCACTTCTGCTTTTATTTCATTCTTTATATCTTGTGCAATAGCTTTTCCGTCTATCACAACAGCTTTGTAAAACCTAGGCAAAAAAAAAAAGAATATTATATTTACAACAGTGTACAGCAAAAGTTGCAGGTAGGAACAATCAGTTAATATGATGGTAACGAATACTGTATTGATTGTATTGAGATCAATCTACTTAGAGATCATCCATAAACAAAAACATCACACCTTCTGCCTTCCCCATCATCACATAATGGCATACCTCTCCCACTAAATTGATGTTACACCTAAGCTTACCACCTCTCTTCAAAATACTATCTTAATTTGGGAAACCATTTCAACATCTTTTAGTATTGGTCTATGTCAGTTGCATTAATTAATTTCCAAAATTCAACATAATGCCAAAATCATTTCTACTTGGGGGTCATCCATAAATGACGTCACGCTTTTTTTGACGATTTTTACCTCCCCCCCTCCCCTCCGTCACACTTCGTCACAAAAAGCCAGACCCCCCCCCCCTAAAATGACGTCACACCTCAACCTACAACCCCCCTTAAAATTGCAGTTGAATTTTTTTAAAACATTGATATTTTTCCAAAATCTTGTCTAAACTATTACAATTTATTAAAACAGTTATCTAAAACGCGAAATAACGTCTAAAATTCGTTTTCTAACATTGCTTTTTTATAATGCAAAAATGTGACGTCGCAACATCTGACCCCTCCCCCTCATCACACATCGTCACAAAATTACGGACCCCCCCCTCCCCCCTACGAGTGTGACGTCATTTATGGATGACCCCTTGTGTCAAAATAATTATCATTAGTTATTACACAGTTAGGCCTATGCCTAAGGCTTATTTTAGGCTTAATAGAATCCCTAGTAATGTGTCTAAAAATATAGATTACTTATAGAGTTATAGAGAGTATACAACTAGGCCTTACTAGGCTTATATCTAGGAACATGTTATCATGCGTGTTACCTGGGTGTGGAACTGAAACTACGGATATGTTGAAGTTCATGGTTGACACAATTAAATTTATCACTCATAAAATTGTTGAATAATGTTGCTGGATTTCTTCTGTGTAGTTTACTATGCAGTAGGGATGAAATTAAACTAAAATTTCTACACTTTGCTAGCCCAGTGTCTGAACATATATTAGCATTTGTTATAATCGGTGGCAATCTGCTTGAATATGTCTGTAAATTTTGATTCAATTTAACTTTAAGCCTTGATCGCGCAACTGTAGATCTAGATCTACTTGTAAAATTTGTCAAAACGCCGCTTATGCGCGATGGTAACTCATCAACAACGTGACGAAATACAACTCGTAAACACAGATTACTGAGATTAGTACTTGTGGTAGGATGCATCCTTTAACACTCACAAGTAGATCTACTAGAATCTATATCTAAATTTACTCAAACAATTAAAAGTACACAACATCTAGAAATATCAACACATCTATCGCTTTAAGTTTAAGTCAGAGAGATCGTCTATTTGACTCTATTATTCATTTTATTGAGATCATATTCATGGGTTGGTTGTTATTGTTATAATAATAGTACAGGGTCGAATTGATTAATTTTAACTTTTTCAATAAAGAGTGGGACCTCTTTCCAAGCACCTGTTGTCACAGTCGGCGTCTTTTTTTTTTTTTTTTTTTTTTTTTTGGCCAAATGAATTTCAATCAATCATCAGTGTTTCTTCCAGACTTTTTTCTCCGGGGGGGGGGGGGGGGGCACTTGAAATCTTCGGGGGGGGGGGGGGGGGCGGTAAACTTTCTTCGGGGGGGCGGACACTGTTAAAAGTATATATTTTCTATATAAATTATATAAATTTCATTTCGTTCGGGGGGGGGGGGGGGGGGGGGGGCGGTAAAAAATTTTCGGGGGGACTGCGCCCCCCGAAGAGATGCCTGGAAGAGACTCTGTCAATCATGTAGTGATTATTAATACGAATAAATGAAGCTTTGGTTAAATATTTATTCCATGAAAAAGTATTCTAAACTAATTATTTTTATTTATCGTCTGCCAAAATTTACTCCAAGATCGTGTAACGTAATACGTAGGCCTACATTACTTAAATTAATGGGAGGGGTGTGAGAGGGAGGGAAGAGGGGGGGGGGGAAGAATTTTGAATGGATTTGATGATTGATGATTTTTTGTTTAATGCTTTCAAAATAACAATTGCATAAATTAGAATTTTAAATATTGCTGGATTGATAAATGAGTACATGGGCCTATGTATGACGTATGTTTTTGGATAGTGACTCGTGAATGCGCACTTTTTCCGCTAGTCAACCTGTTAACAAGTTAACTACACACTGATTTTAAAGTTAAAAAAAAGAACTGAAACTAAAACATTCCAACAATTATACTATTTGTTATACATTTATTTTTAGGCCTAGATCTAGATCTATACTTTATTTTTACTTAATTGACTATGTAGTAGGACGTAGGCATATATTACATACATACATACAGTAACAGTGTCAAACTTACTTAGCATAGGCAATTTTAAGGCCCTACCACATATAGATCTAGATCTAGGCTAAGAACAATATTTTAACTTAGTGTTTACTTGTTCAGCTAATACCGAACATTTCTTTTACGCTTTTTTTTTCGGAGATTGAAATTTCTCAATTTATAAACGTCAATGTTGCTTCCCAAATCTGTCGGCTTATGGTTTTAACGTAGATCTAGACCGTAAATTAAACTTGAACCTCTGACTTTTGACCTATAACCCATTTTTGTTTTCAAGGGAGGGTATGACTTCAAAATGGCTGCGCCCGAAAATGTCAACAACGGTTTAGAAAAATCTATTTACGATGAACTTTCAGAAGTGGATACAAAAAACCTTTATGAAAATGAATCCCAGCAAGTTTTAGAAATGAACAAGGAAGTTATTCCTGCAATAAAAATGGAAAAGGAAAGATTGCCGTCCAGATATAAGAAAGAACGTAAGTGGAAAGTTGTTGAAAAATTGTAGATCTAGTTTTAAATTTTAAAATTTTAAGTTTTAGTTTAGGACTAAATTCTGACAATAGTAGAACTAGAAATTTAAGAAATAAACTACAAACTAGAAGTAGAATCTAGATCTAGAAATCTAGATAGATCTGATCTAGATTCTAGTCTCTAGATCTAGATCTAGAAACTAGTGAGTACAGAATAGAAGAAAAACATTAAACTTTAAATTCTAAACTCCTCCTAAGTCCTAAACTAATTTATGGTAATCTATCGTTTTGGGTACGTAAAATCGCCCGCGATTTGTAATGTGAAAAACAGGTGACTCCTTAAATTTTAATAATTATTTCACATTTTGAGGAGGATTTATGTTTTAAAAATTCAAAAATGTTTCCTTGATTCATTTATGTACCTGTTTTTAAACAATTGAATTAAAACTTTTCCGTAATAAATGAAGACTAGCGATGTTTCCAACAGATGCAACCATGCTCATTTACTATAGCAGCCATCTTGTCTAAGTTTTATTTTTATAAGCTTTAGCGCCAGATTCAGGGGGAAGCTACTCTATTTTACAAATGGCTGCTGTTTATATAGCAAATCTTGCTCTCAGACACTGCTGTTTAAAGTTAATTTCTGGCCTATATCGATATATTTAGCCATTGATTTAGGTTTATTATTCATTTATCTATAATATTTGACACAAAAGTATGACAATACACTTCTATTAAAGCCTTGACAATGAGGTAACGTTTTCGTACATAAATAGCCGCGGGCGATTTTACGTACCCAAAACGATAGATTACCGAATTTATTTCCCATTTAGTTTGATGTTGAGTTAATAATAATAATTTCTAAATCTATCTGGATCTAGATCTAGATTAGATCTAGAATTCTAGATCCAGAATCTAGATCTAGATCTAGAGACTCAGGTCTAGACCTAACGACGACGCTAACGGTTAGGTCCTAACCTGGTAAAAAGATGACTGTTGACACTACTTGCTACTTGACAGCGGGTAACACTTGTCTTGTTACAATAACAATAACTCACTAACTGTACTCAACTGTACTGTAGTAGTGTACTCAGAAGTTATTACTGTGTAGTGTACAGTAGAGTACAATGCAATGTTTCTCATAAATCAAAATAAATCTGTCTTAGAGGCTAAAAATATTTTTTTAAGGAAAAAGGCTTAAGAATATAGTTCTAATAATCTAATATTCAGTAGCCAGTAGTAGGCCTAGATTCTGTACATTCACAAATCACACACACAATCAAAAATGTAAAAATGGGGGACATAATATACCAAGTGTAACCTTGTTTTCTAAAACTGAGTATTTAAATATAAGCATAGCAGGCACTATATTTCTCTTAGATCATAGTTTAAGTTGATGGGGTGCAGGGTTGTTTACACTAGCGCTCAGACTGTATGCGAGTCATGGGTGTACATTAATCATCCTTCATAGTGAGGTGAAACTGAAACATTCCTCTGCTACTGTCCAGAGTACAGAGGTTAATCTGGGAATTCTTGGGTACGGCCTCTGGTTCAGCTTAATCATCAAATCTCATGTGCCACAGTGTTACTTACTAGTATAGGGGGCTTTTTTAAACAAATGTAATCACCAAAAACACATGCCTGATTTAATTTAGTAAACAATTATAGTAGCTCATCGTATCCACGTATCCCACTCTTAAAAGCAAATAGGCACCATAGAGCCTGGGTTGCCTAATTGCATCCCATTGATGGTTTTACCACTTTATTTTTCTTGTATTTTATCAACACCAGTTAGCACAAATAATTTTGAACATGTTTTTTAAAATTCTTATTTATGTAATGGGAAAACCTATTTTGTCATCAGTGGTTAATGAAATATATTAATAACATATAACTGATAGGGGTCAGCGTGGTTGAGTCGGTAAAGCTCATGGTTGCTAAACCGAAAAAGTCTCGAGTTCGAACCCTCGGGCAGATGAGGCTCGTTAGCTGGGGACAACCACTCTTCTAGGAGAGACAACTCCAAAATCAAACAACTGCTGCCTTGTAGTTTGTTCTTGGTTGGACAAAGGCTATGGAAGCAAATCCAAAAAGAAAATCAGGCTGAAATCGGAGTCAATGGCCTCAATGGCGCATAACCAGTTGACACGTAATCCTTCTTCTTCTTCTTCGTTCTTAATTATTAGTGTTGAAGGGGATCGAGATTTATCTGCCAGTGGGTTTGAACTCGAGACTTTGTTCGAATTTATCAAACATGAGCTTTTTGCCGACTCGACCACGCCTCCAACACAATTAAGCATTACGTGTCAACTGGTTATGCGCCATTGAGGCCATTGACTCCGATTTCAGCCTGCTTTTCTTTTTGGATTTGCTTCCATAGCCTTTGTCCAACCAAGAACAAACTACAAGGCAGCAGTTGTTTAATTTTGGAGTTGTCTCTCCTAGAAGAGAAGAGTGGCTGTCCCCAGCTAACGAGCCTCATCTGCCCGAGGGTTTGAACTCGAGACTTTTCGGTTTAGCAGCCATGAGCTTTACCGACTCGACCACGCCCACCCCCACGTAATCCTTAATTGTGATGGAAGCATGGTCGAGTCGGCAAAAGCTCATGGTTGATAAATTCGAAAAAAGTCTCGAGTTCTAACCATCTGGCAGATAAGGCTCGATCCCTCCCAACACTAAAAATTAAGAACGAAGAAGAAGAAAGAAGATGTTGTTAAAAATGATGCTTCTGTTAATTTATATGAATGAATATCTTATCTTATGTATACCCAAAAACAAATTAATATGAATAAATCCAAACTTACTAAATGCTAAAATTAGTTTTCAGTTAATATTCAATACAAACTAATGTTAGCATATATTTATAATGAGTTTCTTAAAATGGACTCCAAAAAATAGAGGTGATAAGCCTTAGATTGTTAAAAAGTAAGATCATTAAAAGTGGATGAACTGTTCTTTGAGTAGGGGGGTGGAAGCAGGCGTTGTAACTGAAATAGCAATATTAACAGAAAGTGATTCAACGCCAAGGGTAGACAAAGGTAAAGAAAATAGTCCAAGTAAAGACAAGCAGTCAGACACCAACGGGGTTCGAACCTACCATTCCACACGGCACCTATTCGCCTTCGCCTTCCATGCATATATCATGCCACGATGATGGATTCTTCTAAATAAGACTAGTGTTAGGTTAGTTAATTATTAGATAGATTGGAAGCTTCACTCCCAACCCTAGGCTGCGACTGGGCATGACCCTAAAATGATTGGAAGCTTCACTCCTAACCCTGGGCATGACCCTAAAATGATTGGAAGCTTCACTCCTAACCCTGGGCATGACCCTAAAATGATTGGAAGCTTCACTCCTAAC